GCACACTGCCATGAGGTCGGAGCCCCACAGCCTGCCCGTCTGTACACTCCCCTAGAGGTTTGAGCCGTGGGGCACTGAGGAAGTGAGCCAGTTCCCCTGTCGCACACCCTGAGAAGGGCACAAGGGAACTTTTTCCGTTTCCTTACTACTGTATCATCAATTTGATAAACATTTTAAGAAAAATGAAAAGGATGAAACCTTTTTAAAGAAAGAAATGTCAATTGTCATTCTAATAATTAAATCTATTATATTATGTATGCTTACTTATTTTATGTCTAATCACCTGTCAAAAATTCAAAGTGGTGATAACATGTCCTGAAATGATTGCATTGTTTTACTTTTTTTCCTTCTTCTCTAGCAGTTTCTGTTCTGTATATGTCAAAACCATGTTATTTGCTTCTTGGAGTTTGATTCTATTATACCTTCAGTGTGGATAGTAACTTTTATCTTTCTTCCCTTTGCTGGTTTTGTTTTGGAATTATGTTTAATGAATATTAATAGTCTCACTCCTTTATTTAGTTCTTGTTTGCTGAATATACCTTTGTCCATCCTTTTATTGTTTACTTTTTGGTTATTTTTGTTTTGGGGTAACTCTTGTGTATAATGCATATTGAGATACATTGGAGTTGCCACATTTTAACTTTTGTAATTTAATAGTGAGTTTAATCTTTAAATTTATGGTTGTATCTGAAATATTTAATCACATGAATATCACTGTATTTCATACACGGTTTATTTTGTGGTTTCTCTCTGTTTCCTTTGACTGGTTTTTCCCTATATGGATATTTTGTTTGCTTAATTTCTATAGCAGTTTAGAAGCTATCGTGTTTTATGTTTCTACTGATTACTTAAAAATTTAATATTTAAAAAGTATACTGTAATATATGCATTTAAAAATTTCTACATCAGTACAGAAGTGTTATCTATTGACTTCCTCCTGTGATAGATGAGAAATGAAGCATGCTTTACTTCCTCTACCCAAGCCACCAACCCAAACCCACTTGTTAGTTTTAATAAACAATATTCTGGATTATTAGGTTCAATTCAATATTAATGTATACAATGTATCTTTTTGTTTATAATTGTTTTTATATTTACATGAATTTTTATAGCTGTTGATTAAATACAACAATGTTCAAATAGCTTCAATGCTTACCAGCTGTATACTATAGCTTCCTCATTTTTGTGATATCTATTTTAATCTCGTGTTTGGTGAAATACTTTTTTCAAAAGTGAATGTGGACAGTGTATTTTCTGAGAATCGTCATGTGATAAAAGAACTTTCTGTTGCCAAAGCACAAGACCAATAATTTGGCTGGGTATAGGGTTTTTCAGTGGTAACATTTTCTCTCGAAAAACACTATTCTATTTTTTTCCGTGGTACATTTAGTAATGAAAGGACAATTCTGATGTCAGCATTTAAATAATTTTGTATTTTAATGTTATTTTAAAACTATCAGATCAGAGATCCAATTGTCTTGAGGGAAACAGTGAGGGTATCAGAACCCTGCATACCAGCCTTTGCCTCTCTTCCATTTCTTCTGTTGTCTTCTCTTGCAAAACAAACAAGCCTTCACAGGATGAGGCTTTTACTATACGCATAGCTGCCCACGCCAGAGAGAAGGCGTAGTGCCACTGGGGCGGGCCCACCTATGTCATTCTTTATGCTCTTAACTCTGTGCTTAATTTGAAAACTGTCTATGCTAGAAGGAATTTCATCAGCCCTCTAATTCTACTGGTGACACCCAGAATAATACGTTCAACAAAGAGAAAAGCAATCCAAGTTGTCTGCCCCTTGAAAACTACAAGTCTACTTTGCCTCCATCTTTCACTTCCTAGTTTAGGTAATGAAAACTATTTTATTCCCCATCCCCAGTCTTCCATATTCATGTATACTTATGAATCCAACTTTTGCTCTTCATAAAAGGAGATGCATAGCCCAAGCTCTAGTCTTGCACTAGTAGCACAAAGCAAAAACTCCTTAGCATAAAAGCAGATCACACAGATCCATGGAATACCTTCCAAATGGGTCTGTTTTGACTTTTGCTGAACTACACTTTGGTTTTCTATGCCATCTGCCTTTCTGAAGGACATTAAAGGAAGCCATTCTATGAAACTCACACATTTATTTGTGATAAGGTATTGGTGACGGTAGTGTTAATTATGCTGCACAGTAAGGCTATCACCTGCAGGTCTGGCTTTAACCTAGATTTTAAAACCTATCTTTTCCTTAAGCAGATACATTTTAAATCCTGTTTTTGTGTTATGTCTTAACCTTCAATTTTACACTATTGTCTTGTAACTCAATTTTAGTAACTGAATCATGCTCTAGTAAGGCTATATCTTTCCTAGCAGGTCTTTGTTCTGTATTGTCCTTACAGTCTTCCTGGGTGTTAGGGTACTTTCCATAAACTCAAAATTCTGTGATAGTATGGTTTCTATCTGCTGCTAGAGGGACTGCCCTGAGATTAGCCCTGCCTGGCCGGTATTTCTCAGCTTCTCGTTCTCCATGCACTTCTTGCTCATTGGCTGTAGCTTTCATCAGAGCCTGCTCATTTCCTACCAAGTGCCCACTGCAGGGGATTTCCCACCCAGTGCCCACTGCAGGGGATTTCCCAGACACTTTGTCATAACTCAGTGGACTTAATATGTTCCTAAGAACTTACATTCTTAAGTCCAACCTGTTCCGCCATCCACCAAGCCCTCAGTTCTAATATCACACTTTTTTTTTTTTTTTTACCAGAACTAAGGCAATTTTCAATTATCTGGATTTGCCTATGGGTATCTAAAATTTTATGCAGCAGCAATAAGTATTTGCAAAGGCGTTAACTGAATATGCCATAATGTATGAGGGGAGGTTTTTCAGGCTCATTTCCAGTCATCTGATACTAAAATCCAGTTATCTGACACTAAAATCCAGTTTACTAAAATTGAGATGGTGCCTACTCCACACCAAATGCTTTTACCTGCTTTTAGCAATTGACTTGTGCTTAGACAAATGTTTTTCATTTTCCTTAATCATTCTCACAAAGGAAACGATAAGTTTTATTCTTCACCACTGAGTAACACAAATAAGCAAGAAACAAAAAAGTAGCTCAATCTCTTTTGTTTACCTCTAAGTAAACCTTAACAATATTTCGACAAGACTTTCCCAGTAAGTAGAAATTTATTGTTATTTTTATTGTATTTAAGTCAAGAAATGTCTATAAAACCCTGGAGGGATGAAATTTTTCAGAAATTCTCTCTGAATAGTCCCTTTAGAAAGTATGAATTGAAAATATTTGAATCTGATAATAAAAGGATAAAACAATCCGACCCTTTCAATAAACAATTGTTTTGTTTCCATGTTAGTCATTTTATCTTCTTGAATCTTGAGCTTATATGATGACTTTGCACATAGTTACTTCTATTTATCAGTGAGCATTTATTGAGTGCCTTGTACCAGTAAGATCCTTTGTTAAAGACTTCATTTATGCAACCTCACTCCATTTCACATTAGATCTCCAAGACAAGATCATCATCACCATTTTCTAGATGAGAAAATCGACCCAGATAGCTTCCTAATGCCTTTCACTGTCAAATGGAACTCTAACACAAGCATTCCGGATAGGTAAGGAAAAGAGACCCGACCACTAATATGGAAATATTGACCTGGAGCATAGTGATGCTGTAAAAAAATATATGTTTTATTTTATTTAAAAATAAAACCTTCAGGCACTGTTCTATTTTTTAATTAGTGGGCATAATTTATAAATAGTAACTCATTTGGTCTTCATGACAACAGAAGTAGTAGTATTATCTCCATTTTAGACAAGAGAAAACTGAGGTACAGAAAAATTGAGTAACATGCTCAAGACAGGAAGTGGTGAAGCAGGATTTCAGATCCCAGCAGGTAGGCTTCATGGTTTATCCTTGTCTTCACCATGCTAAAAACAGTGTTAGGATAACATAGGCAAGTCTGTGCAGATTGATAACCGGTCATAATATTTCTTCATAATCTTTCCCACAGATTTGAGAATTTTGAATTTTGCCTGTAGCTCTACTGATAAAGAATAACAATGTTTTATGAACCTTTGTCAGGTCTTTTAAAATGTATAGTGAAGGATAAAAATCATTGACTGATAAAGGAAGTTAAAATGAATGTTCATAGTGCTTTCTCCTTTGGAAAAGATACTTTCTAAGACATGCATTATTCATTTGGGGGATCATAACAAAGCTGGGACATTTGAATGGAACATATTCATAGAATTATTGAATTTGAAATACAAAATGTAAAAAAGAGAACACTAACCATAAGTTGTTTTCTGCAGAAAAATTTTAAATCACCCTAGCTTTAAATCTTATATTCATACATCTTCAGCAATAATGAAGAGTTGTTTATTTGTAAATAAGTGAAATAAACCCCATCTCATGATATGCACTATTAAAGGCGGCACCAGAATACATGTTTTAAATTTTATTTGATTCATTTATATTTTGCATTTTTATATCTCCCTGCTTTTCCTTAGGAATTTATTTCTTGGACCTCTTTTCAGTCAGTGTCTGCCCCCTGTGGTAAGCTGAGGAGACAGCAGTCAAATGCCTATGTTCCTGCAGGTTACAGTGTGTGTGAGAGCCCCTGCAGTTCAGCACTGAGCCAACCCTCTGGTTTTCTTAGAAGGTGTGGCAGGTTCAGTGCAGGACTAGGGGAGGGGAAAACAGCAGTTGAGATGCTCCCTGAAGGGAGCTACAGCATGGCAGGGGCTGACACTGGCATCGTTTTGGGGCATCTGTGATTGCAGCTGGGAAACACGCTTGCCCAGGAAACAATCACGATGGAGTAGAGCGGCTTGCTGTTTCCTCTTTGTGTCTGGGAGACCACATTATTGCTTAGGCTTTTAAGGTTTGAAGGGAAGTGAGCTCATTTGACCTGGCAGAGACCATAATTTATCAATCTGTCAGATACATATTTGTTAGAGAGTGGTTGTGCTCTGTAGAAAAACATAAGTCAGAATGGTGACTTCATATATTTAATATTTTACTTTATTTACAAATAGCATGTTAATTATCCACAGAGAGATATACATCTAGTTAAAATGCACAGTTATGCTAACACCAAATAGAAAGTGTTTTTCTTTGTTCCCAATGCTGATAGTCTGGCAAGGTGTTTACTACATTTTTTTGTTAACACATTGAATACGTTTGTAAGCAGCCTGGAGAAAATAAGAGGTTAAAGGAAGTGAAGAAAGATGGAATGTGTTAACACTGACTCTGAATGAATATATTTCACCTCTATTCATTGCTTATAATTCATTTTTTCTGTTGTGACAACATCCTAGTTATGGAAATACTGCTGACTTCAGCTTAGAAATGGAAATTTAAATACCTGACTTTAGTCAAGTGTGTTGGGAAGAAGCAGGACAGCTTGCAGCCTTGTCAAGCAATGGAAGGCAATATATCAACTGAGCAGTTATGAGTCCTGGATCCACTCCCAGGTCTCTCACTCATCTGCTCCATGGCCTTGGGTAATTTGCTTAACCTTTGTGCCTGACAATTTCCACAGCCACAAAATGGGGTTGATTACATTACTGTGTGAGAAAACTTTCAGATGCTTTAAAGTGGGGTACAGAGACAACAGATAAACACAGTGATCCCAGGGACTGCTCCTCCCCAGATCATCCTGCTAAGTGCTTTTACCACACAAAAAAGGAAGCGGTTGAGGGGACACACGGAAACTTTTGGAGATAATGGATATGTTTATTATCTTGATTGTGGTGATAGTATTGCCAATGTATACATACGTCCAAATACATCAAACTGCACACATCAAACGTGCAGTTTTTTATTTATCAATTATATCTCAACAAAGCCATTTAAAAGAGGAGAGACAGAACTCAGTAAGCTATGAAGAAACATGAATGGGAAGGATACTTACAAGATGCTAGACATTTAAGAGGTGGGATGTTCTGGGAGATACAAAACTCATCATCACTGAGGGCAGCCTGCTCTGTAGGGACTTGCTCTGCCTGCAGGAAACAGTTGGATAATTTCCTTCCTTCCCCTTCCACACCCACATAATATTAGTGAAAAAAAAAATTGGAAGACTTGATTTTCCTAGGGGGAATATTAAATCATAGATGAGAGAAAGAAAATATGACCTCACAATATTATACCCACTCTATATGTCATACATGTGTAAAGCAACAAGCAGTCATTCTCAAACATGAAAGATATCAAGGATTCTAGAACCCAAAGACCCTTCTCAAATAAACTATTTGACAATAAAATTTAGCAAGTCAAGCAATACATCAAAACAAATAAATATGAAAAGGAGATGTGTCAATATTGAATTTGTGGTTACAAAAAAGAATATAAGTTTTATAAATTGGACAATATAAAAACACAACTTAAGAAAAATTGGGGCCTAAGAGAGGAGGTCGTGAAGTATAATTATATTTGCAAAGCATGCTGTCAATCAATATTGTCCAAAATTAAAACATAAAGTTAAAATAACACAATTACTCAAACTTTAAAAAAACATAAAAACAAGATTATTATTTCATAGCTATTAATTAAAATGATGTGGCGTCTATAGTAGGATAAAATTTTAAGCATTTGATATACGAAGACCCAACACGTGATCCCACAAAACCATGACACACAGCTGATTAAATCTTTGATTTTCAACCATAAAACATACAAAGCTGCCTACTTAATTACTTTACTCCTTCCCTTTTAGAATCCATATATTTGGGAGCTCCCTCTGGTGGTTGAATAAAATATAATTTTCATATTAGTAATGCTAAAAATGTTTAAATAAAATAAAAAGCTACGATCTACATTGAAATTACTTCCTGTAGAATATGAAAGTCTTCTTATTTTTAAGATATGATACCCATTGTGGTATGGTGATGACAGTGATTGAGGATGATGGTGATGATGATGATAAAAAGAATTCTTTTTATTCAACTCTTGACTCGTGTTTATTGCCACAATAGTAGATAATACGGTTGGAAACAACCTGGCAAAACAAGCAGATAAGGCAAAATTCGTTAGAAACAAATCATATATTTTAAAAAGTGCAAAATTTAAAATTAAACTCTAGAAAGTAAAACGGAAATTGAGAAAACATCCTGGGACTCACAAACAGTACAAAGTATAACATATATTCCAAAGTATAACAAACAACAAACAAACAGGGCATCAAAACAATAAAGGTACTACATAATAACATTTTCATTATTACAATAAATGTGTATCAACAACTTATTGTTTTCCCTAATTCTTCTGTCTATTCTTCTGCAGAGTAGCAAACAGAATGAAGTATTTCAGTGATACACTTCTTAACCCTAAAATCTCCTGGGGGAATCCTAATGTGCAGCCTCTGTCCTTTAACTGGATCAGGTCTTGTCATTGCCTATAGGCCTCTACCATTACTACCTAGGACCGAATACTCACACAATGATGCCAGGAAGTACTTTGCCATCGCCAAGCCCTGGTGATTGATCATCTAAGCACAGGATCTGATTTTCTCCTGAAATGCTGACTCCCACTCCATTGTCTGCCTAACCCTTCATTTCCCGCTAAGATTTGAAGACTTTTCTGAACTCTGGGTCGTGTGCCTGAGTCCAGAGACCATATGTAGGTCAGTCCCTTTCTTTTTGCGTTGGTACCATAGGACGAGGGTCCTGCTCTCAAGGTTTAGCTCTCTAGGAAAGACTGACAGCCTGGCACCACCTTTCCAACCATGCTGCGAATCTCACTTTTTGTGCCTCCACTTGTAGGATGGTATCACTTGGTGTGCATACCTCCAGAGTTAGGAATGAGAGGGATTCAGTATTCCAGTTACTCCGGTCACAACTGAACACCCTCCAGTGGGGTAGTTTTGACAGTGAGGTCAGTGTTCTCAATCAGACTCTGGCAGAATCCCCAGATTCCAACATGACCTCAGCCAGCCTAATGCCAAAGAGTCAGTTGGGATACCTGCATCCAACTATGTAACTCCAAATTATTTCTACCACAACAACATTGAGAGTTAGTATGAGAAAAACATTCTACAAACTGTAAAGCCCATGTACATTACATATTAACAGCAATTAGCTTTGCATATCCATGAATACAGTCCTATCAGATACATTGTGTGTTAAATAGAATCTGTGGGTCTTCCTGAGATTCTGAATATCATGACTGAATGTTGTTTTTCAAACAAAATGCGCTAAATCCTGAAGCAGCCATTGGCAGAGCTCACTCCAAAATAGCCAGTCAAACTGACTATCAAAGCAGTAGCATTTGGTAGAGCTCACTCCCAAATAGCCAGTCAAACTGACTATCAAAGCAGTAGCATTTGGTAGATGTAGGTAAAAGGTGCTTTGTTGCAACATGTTTTCCAAAGAGAAAGTGTGAAACAATAAGATTCTGTCATCATTTTGACATTTTTACTGTATCAGAGAATATCTGCCAATCAAAATAAATAAGGGGCAATGGAGAATTAGCATACAATGGGGAATTAGCATACAAAGTTCTACTTGGCTTTGTATTTCTGATGTCTGCAAGAGACTATGCCCTAATGAAATCTGTACAAAGGGGTTGCGCCATGTCACAGTTTAATGTAACGGGCTGCTAATATGTATGCACAATGCCCTTCTTTTTCTGTCTAGAGGCACTTAGGTTAGTCAAAGTATAGAACAAGGCTGCTCTTAATCACAGAGTTTGCTAAAATGCAATTAAGTAGAAAAGTCAGTGTGCCTTTATGCCTTCAAAAACTGAGATTGGCATCTCCGCAGTAGATGTGTGTATACGTGTGTTCACATCTATTTTTCAGTATTGTCTGATTTCATCCTCACAGGCCATTCATTTCAGCTACCTTATAAATTTTCCCATATACAAAATTCTTTAGCCCCCTAAAAACAAAAAACAAACAAACAAAAAAAACCTTCTGTGGAAAATGTGGCCTAATGGTTTCTGTTAACATGAACTTATGCAAACAGAAATTGTCTTCTAAAAATTTTCACATTCTATTCGCAGAAAAATATAGTAGCCAAATGAGTGCCTTCATCGGGACTACTGGTATAAGGGTCAGATTTTCTCCTAAATCATATTCTCCACCGAGAGCCAAGTGACACATCCTACTATGCAGCCTCACAACATATGTGACTCAAAGTCATGTCTCAGCAATATTACCAGTCACCACATTGGGCAATTAGGGGGCTGCTCTTGATTTATCAAAACTATGACTATTTGCTGCTTCAAGGTGGAGGGTTCTGCTGCTTTAATTCACAATCTTTATGGGCTACAGCTCATATGGTGTCTTAGTTCATTCTGTGCTTCTATAACAGACTATCTGAGACTGAAACATTTTTAATAAACAGAAGTACATTTTCTTAAAGTTCTGGAGGTTGAGAAGTCCAAGATGAAGAGGCTGGCACCTGGTGAGAGCCCTCTTGCTGCATCATCCTATGGCAGGAGAGCAAAAGAGCACTCAGGTGAGAGAGAGGAAAGGAGGCCAACCACATCCTATGATCAGGAATACACTCCTGAAATAACGGTATTAAACCACACATGAAGGCAGATTCCTCATGGCCTAGTTTCATCTTAAAGGTCCTACCTCTCAACACCATTGCATTGGCATTGTTTCTAAGAAATGAACTTTGGGGGACACGTTCAAATCACAGCACATGTTAAACAGCAACAACAAAGACATTCCATTCCCAGGTCAATTTCCAACAGAGTAGTTAAAACTTTTTCCCTTTTCCTCCCACTTGAGAGATTATGTCAGAAATCAGTGACAATCACATCATAATAAGCATACCCTAGAACACGTTACATTTTGTATTTTATAAAATCATATAATATCACAAACTTAGAAATATTAGTAACTTGCAACATATCTCACAATGATTCACAATACATCCGTATATTACAACAGCATGTTTTAAAACTGTTGGTCTATAGGTTTCATTGTAAAGCAATGGGATTTTTATAGCACTTTACATGCATTCTTCATTCAATTCTCACAATATCCTTATAAAGTAACAGGTGAACATACCATTTCCCTCGTATTAAAATATCCTTTCACACATTTATGGGATCATGAATTAAGCATGGGCCAAATATTTGCTGCATGGATACAGGAAAAAGGAGGCAGTGATTACTTTTATAATTAAATTTGCAAGGCTAACATTTAGAAGACTTTTTATTTCTTCTTAACTGCTTCACCTATAATTAGGAAATGATGCTGTTATACCAGTAATTTTTGGTGTTTGTTATACTAACTTATTTTTCCTTTCTTATAATTTATAGAAAAAATAAAGGCACTAAATTAAATAAGTTATAGGAAATACTGCATATTATGTCTGTCTTGTAAGTTCACAATGTTCTTTTGCATACTCATGGTGTTGAAAAGTCCTTCAGTAAGAAACAACAGACCTGGGGTCTACTTGAGGGTGGAGGGTGGGAGGAAGGAGAGGAGCAGAAAAGATGACTACTGGGTCCTGGATTAACAGCTGGGTGATGAAATAATGTGTAAAACAAACTCCCGTGACACCTGTTTACCTATGTAACAAATCTTCATATGTAACTCCAAACCTAAAATAAAGGTTAAAAAATTAAAAAAAAAAAAAAAACAACCAAGTTCCATATCTGAAAAAAAGTCCTTCAGTAAAGAATTACGTTGAATTTTGTTTCACTTCCGTTATTAACATTTTTTTGACCGTGGAAATTTTGCTCCTATAAATGCTGTTAACATGATTTGGAACTGACTTCTGTAGAACATACTTTGAGAACTGCTACATGAAATGTTAACTGTCTCAGGGTTCAAATAATCAAGCGTCCTATAGATGTTTTACTCACTTGTTTTTACATAAAATAAAAAAATAAGTTACTTCTTATGAGAATTTCTTATAAAGGATTCCTCCAAGAAACTGAGAGATAACCAAACGTAAATACAAATGAGAAAGAAAATGTTCATCAATTCTAAAACCAGTAAGTACTGCCAATGATACACAAGTTGAGCATCCCTAATCCAAAAATTCAAAATCCGTAATGCTCCAAAATCTGAAAATTTTGAGCACTGACATGACACCACGAGTGGAAAATTTCACACCTGAACTCATGTGATGGGTCACAGTCAAAGCACAGATGCACAGCATACAGTTTACCAAGCATCCTCAAGAGAAAAAAGATCCCCCCCAGCCCGCTTCTGCTGCAATGTATCTTTTCTGAGCACATCATGACAGTTACACCAAACAATCACAGATTGTCCATATGAATGGCTGAGATAGTGACACCTTTGCTTGTTGATTTAATGTACACAAATTTGTTTCATGTACAAAATTACTAAGAATAATGTATAAAATTACCTTCAGTCCACGGTCATGGGGTGTATATGGAAATATCAATGAATTTTGTGTTTAGATTCAGGTCCCATCCCCAAGATATCTCATTATGTATATTCAAATATTTCAAAATCCAAAAGAAAACCTAAACTCTGAAACGCTGAGGTTCCAAGCATTTCAGATAAGGGACACTTACTCTGTATCACAACTTTCTGGCAGGAATCTCTGCTAGATACAGTAAATTTGAATCAGCATGAAGAAAAACACCAGATTGATATGCAACTTCCCTTCCTGAAAATGTGCAGTTTTCAGGGAAGTAATTAGAGCAAATTCTGACACTTCTCACTAACAGTAAGTAATTGCAGAATAGGCTGGAAGCACAGGCAGCTTTGGGGGAAATGGGTTTCTGCCATAGACTGTTGTTGTCCCAAGCTAATCAAACTCAGGAAAATGGACAACCACTCCTCAGTACATTGTTATTGTTTGTTTCTTCGCTGATGCCGCTCTTCTTAAAAGTAACATATTTTCTCCAACATGGCAATGGGAAAGGGATCCTCAGAATCTAGAGACTTTTAAAGCAAGATTGAACAACTTTCACAGAGGTAAAAGTTATTATGCAAGAAACAGGATAAAAAAATGTAGCCTCAGCACACTGAAAGCCGATAGGACCCAAGGCTTTTATCCAACC